TTCAGGTCTTTTTTTTTTTTACCAGCCCTCGCCAAATTTTGTTGTTGTTTGAACCAGACAGGCGACGGCAATTAAGACTTGCAATGATTAATTAAAGGAAAGCTTGTCCAGAATGTTGTAGTGTGCCGGTGCATCACGTAGTAGCCTGTTGAACGACTATTTATGCAGATCTCGGCTACATTTGCATTCCCAAAGTGTTTTTGTCAATCGTCATGTTTTCACTGCTTGCATTCTTTCATTCAATTTGTAAAATGCTTGCTATTATGGCCGTGATATCCTTCAGGTAAAACAGTAATGTAGGCAGTATTCTGCTCATTCAATGCTTAAATAACAAGGCCCGCAGGATGTGACAGGCGTTCATCTGCGTGTCTGGTGTTCTGCCTCTGAATAAATTCAATTTTGTGCATTAGCAAGACGTCTTATACATAAGTCTTCTTATATTCTTGCTTTGACTTCGTAGCCAATTCGAACAAATATATCAGCTATCACTTTTCGCCCCACCCACCTAATCTCTATGGTGGCTAATTCTAATAACAAGAACAATAATAACAATTCAAATACAAGTTAATGCAATGACATTGCACGTTGACATAAAAGATTTCAACATATGAGCATGGCATCTCCAAGTTTAAATTAGACGGGGCGGCGCGGGTACGTCGGCTCTCCCACCTCCCTCCCCACTGCCGTCCCACTTCCCTCCCTCCTGCTCTCACCTCCTCCCCCTGCCTCCCACTTCACTCCCCTTAGCCTCACAGGCTCAAATGCGGAGTGCGGCGGATAAGCCGTCAGATATCAGACATTTTCTGAGGACATGGTCTAACGGACCGAGTGCAAAACTTTTTTGTTTCAGCGCTGACCTACCGTTTTTATCCACTTTATTGAAACCGAGCCATGAAATCTACTTTCCGCTGGACGTGCGGAAGAGAGTTAAAGTGTCTGATAACCTTTGACCCAAGCAGGAGGTTAACATGGATTTTGTTGACTGATTAACAAGGGACTGAACTGCTTTGCTATTAGAGCCCCCCCCCACCCCCCACCCCACCACACCACCACACTTACGCTCTCTGCGATTCGACGCATATCCATGATAACATTGTTAATATAGCAAAGTCATATAAGTTACACAGCTGTATCTTTTTACTCGACTACCAGTACGGTATCAGCAAAGCTTATCATAGATTTTAGATCCTGTAATTAGTAGTATCCTAGATATATGCTCTGTCAGAGAGCGAATGCGGTGGTGGGGGGTAGGGCGCACTTGCATTCGCGTTGCCCAGTGAGTTTATCAGAAGAATACCGGCTGCCAGTAACGTCAGTTGATGCTTGTCGCTCTGCCGGCACTTGTTTTTAATTTCCATATATAATGAGACAGTACTAGTATTGTATGCCCTTTGTAATGTGTTTGCAACTATGGAGCAGTACGGAGTGCATCTGAATACTGATCTGGGATAAAATCACCACACTTTGGCCACTTTTGCAGCTAAATTGATGAATAACTAAATTTCATATTTTTAATTACATTTTTGTATTCAGAAAATTTTGCTAAAGTTTTTACATTTCAATTTCAGTGTATGTAAATATAAGACGTATATATACTGCTCGGCCGAAAAATAAATAAAGCAACCAATAAAGCAAGGCCCCGCGTTGTGAGACACAAAATTACTCTTAACGTTAGTCTTGACATTAACCTTTTCTCATAGACCTGACCTCTATACACTGCATATGAGCAAAAGTTCTCCTTAATTTCAACGGTCTATGAGAAACCGTTTATGTTAAGTCTAATGTTAAGACTAATTTAGATTTTATTATTTCGCCCGACGTGTTCTGAGCTGCCTGCATGTGCATCACATTAATCTTCATTATTGGGGAGAGAATCGCTGATCAGTACTTGACGTCGTCATCGCCTCCAGGCGACCATTGATGCGCGCGTTCACTTGTTGACGCTTGTACGCATGCCGTAATGCCTCGCATCTTCCTTTCTCTCCTATTTGCCGGTGTATCAAGCAGGACCCTACGGTAGCAGCTACATGGACCAGATGGGAGCACCTCCCTTCGACAGGCCGCCGTACGATCGACCTTTCCCATCGGAGTTCATACTGAAGAGTCCGAAAAAGCGAGCCGTGAGTGTCGTCTAGTTAGTAGCGGCGTAGTAGCGGTGGTAATGGTCGGCGTGATGAGAAGTCCACTTGCGTCGTTTCTCGTGAGTGTAAATGGGCGGCGGTTTGTCTGGCATGGAACCTGCTAAAGGGTGTATTGTAATACGGATCATAATGATAGTTGCTTCGTTCATGCCTTGTATATCGTATATGCCTCCAAATCTATATCTGCCATAACAAACGGTAAATCTGAATGACTGTGCTACCTAGAATTCAATACGTAAAGATTGATAACTTGATTCTCACACAATTTCTCTCGAACGAATTCTTCCCAAACTTTTGGTAAGCATTGTTCAAATGCATAGCTGGCAATTTATTTGGTAAGTCCTAACATGTTTCGGTTATATCATTTATTTTTCTACTGAATTTAAGATGTCAACTCGCTGAATTGCCAGTTGGTCAGCACCTACAGGACCATCCTGGCCTCATCTATGCAGAGTTCTGGATAGAGAACCCAATAACAATCACCGCTGATATAATTAATAGTTGGAAGGCCACCATACAGTATGGTATATTTAGGAAAGGTTAGTAAAAGTATATACCTTATTCCTGAAATTTTTCCCTAGGCTTTCATTTATCCACAATTCCACAAAACCGCTCTAGCTTTCTTAAAGTCCATTTTCAACCAAGTGCTGGCAATGTTCCGCTTGCATGTTGTTTAACGTAGCTTATATGTTAATTATTATATGACTTATATATATATATGTTATATTCAGATATTGAAATACATCGTCTCTGGAGACTGATCATGGAAAATGATGAAGCAATATACATGGACCTTAGGTAATTGGCATTAACAAGAATTTTCTACTTCATAGTTATCTTACATGTGAACCATGCTTCATATGTACATGCTGAGTGCATTTTAATATCTGAATAAATCAACAAGGGCATTCAGAGTAAAATATATGTAGACTCGGCTAAACCAAGCAGATAGCTTTTCAGGTTCAAGTATGCAGTTAGTTGTATTTTCATTGTCTGCCAACCATAATGAAGCAATGAAGTCACATTTATGTCTGTTTGACTGTTGCAGTTTTCGAAAGTCTACAACTTTTCCGAGCACAAGACTCGTCCAACGTGGAATACGCATGCTGAATTGTTCTTCATTCCACCATACT